CTTTTGCTCTAAATGCAGCTATATTATATGCTCAGACAGTGAGTTTATTAGTTTTTTAAATGTAAGAACTATATTTCTCCCAGATAGTATTTTTAATTATTTCATTCTCAAAGCTGTATCTTTACTGGGAGTTGTCTCAGTGAGTAAAAAAATGTCTACTCTCGATTTCTTATTGTTACGGTAACTGAGAGATAAATGCAAGTAATTTAATGTCACATTTTGGAACTGTATCTAAAGATTTTAATATGAACTGTTCTTTGAAATGTTGTGTTCTTTTATTAATGTTGCTTCATTTAAAATATTTGCTTAAATCTCAAAAGGATTTATGTGTTCTTTTGATTACTGAAAATCTAGTATTATTAAATTTGATCTTGCTTATTTTTCAAAGCATTGAGTACTAAAGAGAGTTTGCCTAGCATCTCCATGGGTCTGATACAAATGTGAGACATATTGAATTCATTCTTGAACAGCATATCCAGATAATCTGCTGAGACTAGTCCTATGCTGCAATTTGGTCATTGGCTTTGAGTGAGCTTTGGTTCAGAGTTCGAAAAGAGATGCCAGTGTGCCTTTGAGCAGGCACAAGAACACATCCGCAGAAGGGCCAGGAAAGAGCTGGATGTACAAGTTTGATGCACTCAATTGTCTATCCTGTAATGCTCTTCAGTATAGTTCCATCTGCCAGTCAGCTGCAGGTTCCCTACAAGCATAGAACACTAGGTGACACAAGGGCTTTGCATCCAAGAGAGGATGCTGGGGAGCACATGCAGGCTCACCTTGTCAGAACTGTTGGTAGCCCTGGAGCAGCCAGGAGTCACAGAGCAGTTTTGTGTTTTGACATGTTATCCTGAACAGTGTAACCACAGCTGAGAATATCTAGGTGCCTAAATGGTGCTTATATGAGAATCCAGATCGGAGTCCCTCTTCCCCATTAGTTTAAAGTGGGGAATTAGAGCATTCTCTCCTTCTTGGGGTACTGGAAGATAAAGACACTTAGAACTGAATTACCGTTTGTATTGCTGAAAATGCGTAAGAAATAAAAAGGAAACAAACTGTGGAAAGCCTGTTAATAACTAGTACATTTACAGTTGTAATTTTGTATGAGGCTCAGAGGCCTTGGGCCTTGGGATGCAGAATTCCTTTTTTCTTCTGATGTTTGTCTTGTTGTTTTCTCTTTTTAAAACCATATATTGTACAACATGGTTTTTCACTTGGTTTGGGGAGGGTTTTTTTCTCTTTTTGATAAGAGGACAAAATGTTGCCTTAGTTTTACTTAGCTTTATTTTAAATAATATTTTATTTTAAGAAGGTTATTTTACAGTGTTTACAGTGCACTTCAATTTTTTATTATGTCATGCCCTTCCAGCCCCTTGGTGGGATGAGAGGTGAACGTATGCATTATATAATTCATAATTAATTTATGATGAATCACATATGATGAATACTGCTTATTAAATATTAAAGCCTTGCCTACAGTCATGGCGGTACTATGGCAGTAGCACAACTGTCTGTTCCGATGGTACTATTGAGCAATTGACCTAGGCTGTGATATCAGCACCCAGTTATAAGAGAAGTCTTAGCTACTTCCCTGGACAAATGGTGTTAAGGAGAATTGGCTCTCTTTCCAGAGTAAGTGCCTTTTACTGCCTTCTCCTTACCCCTTGTGAACCACCAGTTGGAGGTATAATAAGAGTACAATCTCTGGAAGGCATAGTTGAGAACAGAGAAGGTGCTGCTGGTAGCTCCTCAACTCCATAGGGACTATTATGAGTCCTAGTTCCTTCCTTCAGTGATAGAAAGCTGGACAGAGTTGAAGAATAGCCTAACAGAAGGTAATGGCCTGGATCTGGACAAGTGGAAATCCAGGCTAGATTTTGACAGTCCATTTTTATTAGCGAGGATTGGAATTCAGACAGGGGAATAATTTACCTGCAGAGGTCATTCCGGCATCTGTAACTAATCAGCTCCCAAATAAAGGCAGTAAAACAGAGGGCAGAAACCATGTAGGGGATGGCTTGCTACCAGTTTAGGGCAATTGGTCCTAATGAAGGTATTTTTCCAAATTCATAGCAATAAATTTGTTAATCAGAACTTGTAGAGAAATCAGATATAGACAGGGCTGTCCTGACTCCTCTGAAAACAAGGGAATCCACCCAGTCAACATTATAAGGCAGAAAAGGAAAAGTAGCCTTCTACTGATGTTTTATGCTCTGCTTTGCCTTCCTGGGAGCATTGACCTGTGTGTCTCACTGAATACAACAAGGAAAAATGCTGCCGCTGTGTGTGATGCAACAGAGCTTAACCCTGAAATCCTCACTTCACTGTATTTATTGCCAGCCCAGCAGGCAGATTTTCCCTTGCATTTTCTTGACTCAACTGGCTGTTATAGCAGATGGACTAGAAGGTGCAGGAGAGATGGGAGAATTTCAGTCTGAGAATATGGCATTGATAATTTCATTTAGGATGCCACCTAAGACCCCATGAGTGCATGTGAAAGTGTGTGCTGTTTTCCTCAGATGCCTGCATCTTAGGGAAAGTAAATTAGAAGCAGCAGGCAGAGATTTGAGCACTGAAATAAAAAAAAAAGAATCATCTGTGGTGAGTAACTGTGTGAAAGGAATGTAATCCTAAGTGATTCCAATTAGTACAATGCAAAAGGAAAGGAGTGTAATTAATTTTGGCTTGATGTATAATCAACTTATACTACACAAAGATTGTGAGATCAAATATTGAAAATCCTTAGGGTACAGACAGCAGAAATCAGTTGTTCTTTGGATAGCTGTACCATGGAAAAAAGAATACTAAAGCACAGGTATATTTTTTCAGAACTTATTATTTATTTTCTGAGAGCTCAAGCTATAGAAATTGAAATAAAATCCAATACTACTCAATATTTGACTTTGGTTTTGTTTTTTTCCCAAAGCTTTCATAGGATAATTTAATGATTTGACAGATTATCAGGAGCTTGTTTTAATATTAATTAAATAACACACAAAGACAGAATTCTCAGTCCTTAAAATTACATAAATAAAACTGATTTATAAGATTTGATCTTAATGGGGAGTGATATATTCATTGGTATTGAGCCTTTGATCTAATACCACTTTATACATACCGCTGTGATGAGAAGATTAAAAAAAAAAGGATCATAACAGTATGTGGAAATTACCAAAGGAAGAACTATGTTTAGTAACATAGTGGTTTTTTTTTATAGAACGGACCTGTACTGGGGAAACCCTATCTTTGGTCTTAGGGATGACAACTAGGATTGTTATGCATTTGAAAGAAACAGTTTTCACTGAGGCTCACATATCTCTCTTTTCATTTAACTCAAATTTGTAAATTGCAGATAAAAAGTTTGGTGACTGCATCTCTTTTTGCACATTATTAGGCAATTGTTAGAATACTCACTGATTATTGTAGGTCAGCTTATTCTCATTATTAAATGACAGTGATCATTAAAATGCCAAATGTATTTTTACAGACTCGATCTTTATAAAACATCAGCAAGTTTTAATGATTTTATTAGTTCCAAATCAGATATTTCAATAGACCATTTGTAAGTATTTCCAGAAAAACATCCATTTCTGAGTTTTTGAGACCACACAAAAATATTTACAAATTAATCAGATTTCCAGATTTCTGCATAATAACTCTGCACATTTATTGTTTAATCTAATTCTAAAATTCTGTTATGATTGACGCCTTGCTGTAGAGAGAGAAGTCAATTGAATAATGTGTAGCAGTCAGTTTTATTTGTACCTTAATATGGTGAAGGTGGATTTTTTTTTTCACATTTCCATTATTTATAAGTTGTTCCCCTTGGAGAATATATAAAAGAATTTGTTTTAAATGAGCTGATAATACCCTCTTTAAAATTTATAAGTATGACAGAATCGTTTCCTTTTTCCTTACCACTCAAGGATGTGCCAAGAAACTGGTTCTGAATTCTCCTGCTATTCATAGGATAAACTGGAAAAGAGCATCTTGTTAAGGTTTACTTAGAAAAGAATTTCAACCACTCATCAGAAAAAAAAATAACAGAACAGGAGGTATTGTACCAACCAGCAAACCTGGTGCTATTGCCAGAATTTTATTTACAAGAGACCACAGTACTCTTGCAGCTATGTTTGATACTTGCTGTCATTCTTATAACTTCAAAGATCACTGTGGGCCTGATCATGCAATCAGTGCTGACAAACTGTACGAATCACTGCAAGCCCTTCCCTCAGTGAAAGTGGAGGATTGGGATGTAGTTTTGAAAACATCTTGGTACTTTCTTATAACTGATAAGATGTTTTTATTTGCCTTCTTCCCTTTCAAATCAATATTGCAGACTTCAGCAAAATCCAGTAGGGCTGGACTGTGTTTTGTGTTTAGAAAGTCATTAGTGCCCAGTGTATAGTTTGATTGTTGGATATTGATCATCTCAATAAATGCTGGAAATTCCTTGGTTTCACAGAGTTTTGCTCAACCTCCACATGCAATATAAAAAACAAGATGTTATTTGGAAGCATACCAGTTTTCAGTTATAATAGTGCCTTTTTATCCTGCATAGTAGAGTCTTTGCTGCCTCAGTAACTGACAAAAGAAAATGCTTTATTAAGATAGAAAGTAGATGTGACTTCATTGTTTTTCAGATAATTTTTGCTTTCAGAAATTACGATGGCTGATGTTCACCTAAGCATAAAAAAATGCAGTTCCCACATGCGCGGAGTGCTCATGTAGACTATGTAAATTGATGTATAATGCACATTAACTGGGTTGATGATATCTTCAGTTTCACTGCTGTCAAATTTCTGTAACTCCTTGAATGAGTTGACTGGTCTGAATGCATGTTAGCATAATTTATGCAGCTGATAAGTGATTTGAGTGCTTGAGTTATTGATAAAGTGCTTAAACATATAATTTTTGGCTTCATATTATGTGACATCAGAGTAGGAGGTAACGTGGCAGTCCCCAGGCTTGATATTAAAGTCACTTTGCTCTTTGGATTTCAGAGGCCAGAGGAAACACAGTGCTGCCTGACACAAGCCCAGCAGACCAGCACCAACCCAGTCAGTCCCATCCTGCATTCCCTATTGGACCTCAGGTCAGTATCTTTTCTTTCAACTAATTGAAATGTACAATTTTATAAAAAATAAATAACCATGATTGATCATCTTTGATCTGTGTAATGTAGAAGACGCAATTATCTTTGGCTGCATTCAATGTTACAGAAAGGGAGCACATATGTATTGTGTATGGTTTAGAAGTCATGTTTGGCAAGATCAGTTTTTTGTATGTTTTTCTAAAATAAAACCTAAGCAGTTTTGCATATTTAAGAGGTTAAATTATTTGAATTTCTTATGTAAATTACTTTTGAAATAAGTGTAAAAACTTAATATTAAAAATCTTGTACAATTTTAATACAACACCTTTGGCTCTGACAATTCTGCCTGTCACACACAGCTCTTGCATTAGTAAGACATTTCATTATCTTTTCTGCCAGGTATTTATTTTCTGTTGAGCACATTAAGTGTAGGCACTTAATGAGATTTTTAAATATTTTCCATCGCACTTCACAATTTTATCCAAGTCCAGCCATACCCTAAAAAGATACTCGATATTCTTCCACTTTCTAGGACAGTCTTGGTCCACAAAGTTTCTGATAGTTGTTACTATAGTGTTTTCTGTTGTTACCAATCAGTATACAACTGGGAAGACTTGGGAAATGTTGGTATTTAGGTACTTGTAGGCCGACTTGAGTTAGACCTTCTTTCATTCATAAATTAACTTTGGCGAATGTGTTATGAATTTTCCAGTCTAAATTCAGCTGGGATTGCTACTATGCGACATGATTGGGGCTTACAGTTTCAGACTGTCAAAACTTTCTGTGTTAGTGAAAATGTGTGCTTTAAGATATTGGAAGCAGTGCATATCTGTAATGGAACATGAAGGATCCCAAGCCAGAAGAGTTATAAGCGTGTAATACTGAGCTATACACAGTACAATAGCTTTGTGTTTGTGGTTTCTTACAGCAGCTACTGACAGCCCAACAATTAGCCTCAGCAGTAGCAGGGGTGATGCCAGGAGGCACTCCAGCCCTTAATCAGCCAATCCTTATTCCTTTCAACATGGCTGGGCAGCTTGGGGGCCAACAAGGACTTGTCCTAACTCTACCTACAGCGAATCTCACCAACATCCAAGGACTGGTAGCAGCAGCTGCAGCAGGAGGCATCATGACTTTGCCATTGCAAAATCTACAAGGTAAGTCATGCTGATCATTTTTCTAATAGGTTCTTTCACTTGTTTGTTTTACATCATCTCTCCTTTAAAACAAGTGATCTCTTTTCCAAATTAAATGTTGCTGTCCATGCATATCGAAAGTTAGTACCTGGCTTGTTTTTGAATGCTTGAGAGATACTTGAGGGATATTTACATTTTTTAAAACCATATTGGAAGTGGATCCATTCTATGGGTCAGTGATGTAAACCACTTGAATGATTCATTAGGCTTTTTCTGTCATCAGTGATCAGTGTTCTCTAATCACAGCTTACTTTAAAATTTGAAATCATAGAATCATAAAATCACAGAATGCTAAGGGGTTGGAATGAACCTTAAAGATCCTGTAGTCTCAAACACCCCCGCCATGGGCAGTGACACCTCTCACTAGACCAGGTTGCTCAAGGCATTATCCAACCTCGCCTTGAATACTGCCAGGGTTGGGGCTTCCATGCCCTCCTTGGGCAACTGTTCCAGTGTCTCACCACACTCACAGTAAAAAATTTCTTCCTAATATCCAGTCTTTCAATTTGTACCCATCACTACAGTTCCTGAAAAACAGTCCCTCTCTGTCTTTCCTGTAAGCCCTCTTCAGACACTGGAAGGTTGCTATGGGGTCTCCATGCAACCTTCTCTTCTCCAGGCTGAACAGCCCCAACCTTCTCAGTCTGCCTTCATAAGGGAGGTGCTCCAGTCCACTTATCTTCATGGCTCTCCTCTGGACTTGCTCCAACAGTTCCATAACATTCTTATGTTGGGGCCACCAGAACTGTACGCAGTACTCCAGGTGGTGTCTCACAACAGCAGAGAAGGGGGAGAATCACCTCCCTCAACCTGCTGGCCACATTCCTTTTGATGCAGTCCAGGAATCCATTGGCTTTCTGGGCTGTGAGGGCACACCGCTGGCTCACGTTCAGTTTTTCATCACCCGTCACCCCAAGTCGTTCTCTGCAGAGCTGCTCTCAGTCACTTCTCTGCCCAACTTGTAGGTGTGCCTGGGGTTGCCACAACCCAGGTGTAGGACCTTGCAATATGGTTTGCTGAACATCATGAGGTTTTCATTGGCCTACCTCTCAAGCCTATCGAGGTCCCTCTAGATGGCATCCCTTTCTTCCAGTGTGTTGACTGCACCATCACATGAAAATAACTTAAAAAAAAACCAAACAAAAAAAAAAGCCCCTTTTATAATAAGATCAGAGTTTTCTCAGCTGTCGTCCTTGTCCCAGATACATGTTTTCATTCTTGCTGTGGGAGATCTGCTTTATCAATAAGGTTCTGCCAAGTAACAAGCAAAAAGTCAATGTCTGTATGGATCCTCCCCATTATCTGAGCTGTACCAGAGTTGCAACTGTTCTACCCTAAAAAATCTGCTGCATTTTCTCTGTGGTCTAAAATCAGACTGAAAGCTGTTCTAGAAGATCTCTTTTCTTCTGTAGTATTCTCTCCTGTTAAATCAATGCATCTAATAGTGTTAATAACAGTACTCAATCCAAATACATATGATATAAAATACAGATAGTATTTACTTACTATTCCTAACTATGTTGGTGCTTCTCAGAATGCAGTTGCTGCTGTACAGAACTGAACAAAACATAGCAAGTTAACCAATATCTTACAATAGAATTGTACTTAATGATAGAAGATAGTAAAAGCAGTGATTGTCCAGTGCAAAAGTGATAAAGGTGTGAGCAGGGAGTGTCAAAATAAAGCTTTAGCTCTTTAGATTTATTTATTTATTGTTATTTCTTTCTGATGTAAATGGTAGGAAAAGTTTTTCTCAAATAAAATGGTAATTTTTTTAAATGAATCCTCTGCACTGTGCCCTAAATACTTTTTAGTTATCAAACTCTGGTGGCTGTTGATTACCAGGTGTGTTGTTTGAAGCATCAGAGCCTACCGGTTGTAAAACAGAGAAAGCGAAGAGACAGCTCATGTGTTAAACAAACTCCCTTACAAAGCACATGCATACTATTCTCACCTGTTGGAGCAACTACTTGCCTTTACCTTGTGCATGTTTTAAAGTTTAATGTCAACAGACCTCTCTTATCATAGTTGTAAATGGTTTTCACTTTAATGTTTAAAATAATGTCTCTCTCATACCATTAAGCTGCACCAAAGAACCTGTCATTCATAAATCATAGATGAAAAGGACACACTAATGCACAAATTTTGCTTGTTTAAAATTTGAGAGTACATGTAAAGTAGGGAACTGCAGATTAAAAAAATAATGCAGGAACAGGAGTGAGTAAAAGCAGATAGAACAAAGTGAAGGGGAAGTAGCTTTTTAGTGTAGGTGGATGATGAAATCTTAATGAAGAAACAGGCATTATAAAAATGTATCCTTCCACTCTGAAGTGCTCCGGGTTACAGTTGCTGGGTATGTTGTATTCTAAATAAACATAAGCTTGTGCAGTTCTTATGTCATTTATTCACCCTGTGTTGCAAAGCTGGAGAGTAGGGATTAAGCCAGGTAACCTTTGCTCTTTATTTTAGCCACGGATGTCTAATTGCTGGCTAAAAGGGGCAACTCTGCTGCCAAATGAATTTTACAAGCCATGACCTTATACCAGATGAAAAAGTTCCCTTATAATCTTTACTGGTAGACAGGAGCATGGGATCAAATAGGGACTTGCTGAAGCAACAGGTACAGTACTCTGTCTATGAACATAATCATACCTTCCATAAAATATCTGAAAGGAACAGAACTCATGAATTTATTTAGTTGTGTTGCTGTTTGTTGTGTTCTGTACCCTTCCTTCCCTATCTTCTAAGCAAGTGCTACTGCCTGCCCTCAGTATTTGGAACTGAAACCGATACACAAGAGCAAAATAACTTGGTCAATAGCTCTTAACCACCCTGAATCACAGTTGTAAACTGCTGTTGCTTCCTCTACAGCCCACTTCCCGATGTGTGCGTGAATGAGGGTAGGAATCAGGTGAGAGTGTTGTGTGGTATCATCAGTTCCATTGAACCTGATTGACTTCTGGTGCCTGTTTTTTGTGGGTGGTTGAAAGACAATCATATAATATGTGTTCTCTTTTGTAGCCAGCACTTTTTTAGGAATACTCATAAAAGCCCATGCTTCAACACAGTTTCAGTAATTCCTTTGGGCGAAATCAGACCATAATTATCAGCTTCCATCTCTTAAACCTCACTGTGGCACGGTCAGCTTTGATGACTGGGGGACATGTTTTCATGATTTTTTCGAGCCCGTCTTATTACTCCTGTTGTTGTCTCATCTACTGTCCCTGAATTTTCAGTGAAGTCAAGCACAGGTGTCCACAGCTCCTGTGAGCTGGGTGTTCACAGCTTCTGTGAACTGGGTCTTCTCTTATCTTTCTTTTCTCGTAAGTAAACTTCTAAGCTCTTCATCACAAACTACCCCTGTTAGGTAACTCAAAAGACACCCCAGAAATTTTTTGAATAATGTATGAATTCATAAAAGGTCCGGTCTAACACAGTACTTGAATTCACACTGAATGTTGATCATGGGAGTAATTCCATTACATTTTCTGTGATCCACATACATGTTTCACTGATTTTCTTCTCATGAACTTTCAGGTCTGGTTCAGGGTAACAAGACCTCAGGGTTATTGGATAAAATAATAAACATCCTCACTTGTGGAAAGACAAAATAACACTCAGTGATAGGAATCATAGAGGAGATATGTTAAGTATTTAAAATGAGAAAACAAAAGTGTCTTTTAAAAGTTAAGACATTGGTAAAATGGAGTGATTAATGACATGGAAATTACTCACACAGTATAACTTAGTGAAATTGCCTATTCTTCACTAGTCAGTTACCTATAAATAAGATTTTTTTTCCCAAAGGTATTTGTCTTAAATTGTTCAGTTGCTATATGGTCCTGAGCCACCACTAAGTTGATAGGAATTTCGCTGCTGTAAGTGAAAAGAGGTTTGGACCAAACCAAACCTCTTTCAAAACTTCTTTTCTTCATACATACTTGATTATTTTCTGTGCATTAGACTATGTCATTTGCTATACGCACTGCTATACTGTATCTGGTCCCTGAGCAAATACATCAAATGTGTGTAAACAAAGAAAGGAAGGTGAATGTGTAAATTCTTGCTGTGAAACTTAGAAAAATATGTTTTCCCTGGCTTCAGGTAAGTAAATTTCATATGCACAATGAATATGCAAGGAATAAAATTTACTGCGATGAAAGAGGGTTGGTGGCAGAATAGAACTATCTGCCTTAGTGAAAACAGAAATCCCTGTACGTAACACAGATTTACCTATGGGATTTTGGCTTTCCACCAACAGTTCTTTGAAGAAAACCGTAAAATCAGCGATGGTAACTTTTTATTGTAATCCACTAAAAGCACTGAAGATAAAAGTTTAAAAACCATCCAAGAAAGTTGTTGTCCTGAGAAATTTACATATTTGTTTTCCCCTCACTATTTCTTAGAATTACAGCTGGAGCACACCCATGCTTACCTAAGATTTTGGAGATGTCACAATAAAAATGGTGAGGTTGTGAGAAGGGAAAAAGTGAGGCAAGTACCCCACAAGACAGCAGGTTTTCTGTCTTTTGCTCTTAGTCCACTGCTTCTTGGCCTGTCTTTATTGACTTAATGCAGAAAATAGTCTGCCAGCTTTTCTCTTAAACATCCAAACTTGAAGTCATCAATATTCATCTTACTGTCTTCAGGAAACTTTTCTATGGGCTGAACAGTTCCAGGTTCTGCATGTCTTTTGCCATGTCAGATTTCTCTGGGTTTTGGGAGGAGTGTGTTCTATTTTTTAATTTTAGTTATCCTTCTCAAGAGTCTTTCCAAGGGACAAGTAGTTGCTTCATCTCAGAGTATTCAGTAATGCCTGGGAGCTGATATTCATGAAGACATTCTTTCCCTAAGCCCATCTGATTTTTATGTCTCGCTGTAATATTTTTGTATAGCTGAACAGAAAGATACCTTTGGGGGGGAGGGGGCTGAGTTTGTTCTGTCTTGTTTTCTTAACGTCA